ACGAGCAAACATCTCCCAACAAACCCTTTTTCTGGTTTTATCGTGGTGCAGGTGGAAGATAAATAAGATGAATTTATTGGTTCATTGTTTTGATATATTTCTATTTTTTACATTACATTTTCATACACATTTTATGATTATGGAACCGTTTTTGAGATCAATAAGAACCTCATATAGGAATTGAAGGCAGCACTTAAACATAATTTTTGGGTATGGAATGATGTTGGTTTGAGCAGACTTAATCACCAAGTTCTTTTAATGCTTAGCATTATGAGAAGAAGATATCATAAGATACATTTGAACTAACCTTAGCCTTTGCTCGAGCTCTCCTACGTCGTTCCCAACATCCAACACGAGAATTTGTGTAATATTTCACGTTTGATGTGGGTTTTTTGATGACCACAACTTCGCTATAATTTCTTCCATTTTCCAAGTTCAACCTCCCATTAAGTAACGGTTCCTTCTCGGACATTTTTCGAACCTTAATTGATAATATGATGAAATAATGTCAGAAGAACAGCGTGCACCACGCTTTTGTTTTTACTCCACGTCGAAGCGACTTCTGTCGATTGGTTCACTATCAGTGTTTGTTATAATGGGAAACTGTCATCAACGGCAGAACAATATTTGTTTGAGCTGTATTCACATTTTTGAGTAAATAGCACCTTACAGAAAGATTTGAACGGAAAATCGAGCACTTGAAAATTTTGGAATCGCAGAGCATTCAGCCGAAATCTGAGTGATGAAGAGAGTTTTCAAATTTTCTATCAAAAGAACCAATAATCTCAAATCGATAACAAACCAGCTTTTAGAAATATAAACAAGACTAATTAAATTGCATTGAGAATGCGTTTATCTTAGAGGGTTATAGGGAATACAGCTTTCATTATAAGTAAAGCAGTAATTATTGTTATAGAATTTGCTACCATTCTCTTGAAAGAAAGATTCCAACTTCTCCACTACTTAGAAGTGTAAACGAATTTTCGTCCCATCTTAGGTCTACAGGATATAAAGAATACAGTGCAGGACTTGTGATGTTTCAATATGTTCGTTCCATGACTATGTACGAAGGGATTAAGGAGCAAATTGAGAGAAAAATGATCAAGCAGAAACAAAGATCAATAGTGCGGCGACCCTAGCAAA